GTGGGCTTCTGTAAAATCCAAAACAAGTACTGTCTTATTTCAAAGGGAAGAGTCGGGCACACCTAAGCAAAACCAAAGTCCAGCAAAGTAGCTCGAGGCTGGACATCTGGGATTCACTCATGATCTTCTGGGCTCCAAAGGGTACTGGCAGCTCCACTGCTCTGACTCTGCAGTCCACAGTGCACTCAGCTCGTCTCGCAGACCCAGGCCAGCTCCATTCCACACTTACTGCTGTCCTTGGTGGTCGTCCCATGGTCCTGGCATCTCCAAAATGCTGGGGTCTCCACTGAAACTGAGGGTGCACTCTCACCATTGGCCTCTTCTGGCCTCTCGGGGTGCAATGCCTCAGATTCTCTCCATGACCCCTTCAATCCTGGGGTCTTCGCTGCAACTGAGATTGCACGTTCACCTATGGCCTTTCCTAGCTTCTCAGAGTGCCAAGCCTCAGCTGCTCTCTGTGACCCCTTCATGCTTTCAACACCAGAACTATGCAGGAGACTCTTACACATTACCAAGTCCTGCTTCCAGCTTGAGATAGAGATGCAGGTCCCCTCTGTGTGCTGACCCTGAGGAAATACCTCCCAAAAGACTTCACCACAGTGATGCTGGTATCTTGTTACTTACAGCTGATTTTTCAGCCCCAGGTAACCAACATCATTTGTCCCAGTAAAGCAAAGGTTTTGCTGCAGGTTCTGGTCTCTTTTTAATCACAGCTGATTCTTCAACCCCAGCTGACCAGAACCTATAGATTCTTAATTCAAAATTTCACACGAACAACCCTGATAGTCTCTGCTTCCCTTTGAAGCTTCACAAGCCAGGCCTCCACCGTCTACAACTCTTTCAGCATAACTGTTCCAAGCTCTACAGCAACAAACTCGAGCATACAATGGCTTTTCCAGCCCACAGTTCCAAACACTTCCACAGTCCTCCCCAAAACACCAAGGTCAGGTCTGTCATATCAATATCCCACTCTCTGGTACCAATTTCTGTCCTAGTTTGTTTCTCCATTGCTGTGACAAAACACTCTGACCACTACCAACTTGGGGAGGAAAGGGTTTATTTGTCTTACATCTCCTGCGTCACAGTTCATCAGGGAACCCAAGGTAGGAACCCAGGGCAAGAACCAAGAAGCAGGAGCTGGAGTACAGGCCATGGAGGATCACTCCTTACTGACTTCCTCCCTGGCCCCTGCTCTGCCTGCTTTCTTATGCAACACAGGCACACCTGCCTGGGGTGGAACCACCCACAGTGGGCTGGGCCCTCCCACATCACACAACTATCAAGAAGGTGCACCATGGACATGGCCACAGGCCACTCCAATGAAAGCAGTTCCCTAATTGAGGCTGTCAGAACCCAAGTGTGTCAAGTTGACACTAAAGCTATCCAGCACACCCTCCATGCAGCCTTATGCAACACAGGCCCACCTGCCCAGGGGTGGCACCACCCACAGTAGGCTGGGCCCTCCCACATCACTCATCAAGAAGATGCCCCTCAGACATGGCCACAGGCCAGTCCAATAGAGGCAATTCCCCAATTGAGGCTCCCTCAACCCAGGTGTGTCAAATTGACACTAAAGCTATCCAGCACAGCTTGTGACTGCTTGGTGGTAGTTTGGGCTGAGAGATCAGCTTGACAAATCTGCTCTTGGGCTCCTTCATGTGTCTGGAGGTAGCTCTTCTGTGGACTGGCTGGCCTAGTGATAGAGGAGGTGTGAGGCATGACTAGTTTGTATGGTCTTATCACCCAGCAGGCCAGCATGGGCTTGTCATGGGCAGTTCAGGAGGTGTAGATGGGCAAATCTCAGTGTATGAATATCCTATAAATCTCTGTGTGACTGGTATTCAGAAAAGTCTACTGAGCTGGCATTCCAGGACATCCTAATAGTGCATGGAAACTGATCAAAAACCCATGAGAGTGTCACTTCACCTATAAGCATGAGCTTTTAACTTGGGGTGCTCAGTCAGGGAAGCCCCTTACCTCTGGAAATGATTGAGATGAGATTTTGAATGCAGCTGAGAGCCACGCACAGGAAGGGCTATCCTAGACTACCACGCAATGAGAATTCCTTTCCCTGGTGGGTAGTTACTGCTTTTGAAGTGCCCCCCCCACACCTTGGTGAAGCTGATCTAGAAACTGACCAGAGGAGGGAGCCAAGCTGGGATTCCCATGCTGGGAAGGATCAGCTGTTCCCACTTGTATAACAGGCTGTCACTTGTGGCTGTGCTATGCCCAGGCCTTTCATAATATGCTTGTGGGGTTGCTTGGGCCGTGGAGCCTGGGGGCTCCTTGTGTGTATATTTTCTACTCTCAGACAAAGGAGATGTTAAAGTACATTCCCCACCCTTCAGAGACCTGAGCTTGTGGACAAAGGAGTGCTGATATTTTATTCTTCTCCCTTGAATGGGGCCCAAGGCCACAGCCCTGGCCTTTCTGTGCTGTTCTTGGCATTGCCTGGCCACCTGAGCTGCCCCACCCAGGCCCCTGGCACCTGGCACCTGGCCAGCCACCGGAGGTGTCTGCTGGGCCTCATCACCTGGTTTTGAACCTTCACTCTGCCACTTTGGCTTGGGCAGATGTGGTCCCCTCTCTGGATCTGAGTGACCTCTCTACCTGGAGTGATCACAATTGTCTTGGGGTTGTAGCACAGCCCTGGCTGAATTGAGGCCTTGCATGACCACCTGAGAAGCCATTCCCCAACTGTTAGGCACTGTTTATGTGGTGTCCTCATTGTGGGTAAAGCTGTTCCTCCCTGGCGCATCTGGAATCTGTGTGTGGCATGGCATTAAACAAGGTCCCTTCAGATGCCCACAGGCTCTGGTGGCAAAGGACTCAAGCTCTTTCTGCCCCTCCCTAGCACCTATCATTTAAGGTGTGTGATGGTCTTGGACCCATGCCTTCTCTCTGAGTGTTCCTAGCCTGAGTCCGTTGGGATTTTAGCACCCTTGTATTCTAGAAACCTCCCCCTGAGCACTTGGCTCCTGTTTCTGACTGGGAAGACATGGAGATAAGATAAAATAATTTTGGAAAATGCCTGTTCCTGAAGGTCCTGTCACAGGCTCTTCCGTGGTCTCCGCAGATCTGTTCTATCTGAGGAGTGCTGGCCTCTTGCCCATTCCTCCTGCCCATGGTGGCCCTGCAGGCTCCTGACCTGGTCCCAGATTCTAGCAGAGCCTTCGAGAACACCTGAGCATTCATAGCACCTTGCCCTTGGTCCTGAGCCCTGGGAAGGCCGGGGTCCATGGAACAGCACTGCAGAGCGGGCCAGGGCCAAGGTCTGCATTATGCCAGGAGTGTCTTTGAGAGTGGCTGAGCTCCCTGTAGGCTGGCCTGCTGCCTCCAAGCACCTTCCCTTGTCCTGGGCTCGAAACAGTGGAAAGGAAAGTGAAGGGGTGGAAGCAAAGAGCTGTTTCAGGACACAGACTTTTCTTTAAAATTAATTATTAAAGGTCGGGGGAGTGTGCATGCATGTCATAGCACTTGCAGATGACAGAGGACAACTCTGTGGAGTCATTTCTCTCCTCCCACACCTTTACATAAGTTCCAAGGATTGAACTCAGATCATCAGGCTTAGAGGCAAGTGTCTTTGCCTGATGAACCCTCTCATCAACCCTAGAAGCTTCTCATGTAGGAGAAAGAGCTAGGCCCTGTGGGAAACTCTTCCTCATACCCCACACACAGTTGATGGGCCCTCCACCAAGCATCCAGAATCCAACCACCTTTCCCATGCACACCACACCCCTCATGAACCTCATGACATTCTCTGGAGGACACTCTCTGGTCTGATGCTTACTCCCTGACTTATCCTTGCAGCTCTAACCCATCCCCAGCTTAGAGTCTTCTTCCTGTGTTTCCCACACTGTTTGTGCCCTGTGCAGCTTCTAACTGCTCCAACCTGGCCTTGTTTCCCCATCAGCAAATGGAGGGTATATATGAGTTAGGCTTTGATGGATGAGTAGGAGCTCAATAGGTAGAAAAGGAGAAAGAAAAGATATTCTAGGCAGAAGGAACAGCCCATGTGAAGGCCCACTGTCTTGAAAGTACCTGAGTGTTTGGTGATAGTGAAGAGTTGGTTTGGCCAGAGTAAAGCATGGTGGGGCCTGCATTAAGCTTTGTGCCCTGGGATGAGGAGTCATGGAAGGAACATGAGAAGGGAGCAGTGGGATTCTTTTTTCCAACCATTGCTCAGGGAACACACCAGTGGGAAAGAGGCACCAACTGCATACAGAGCTCAGCTCCAACAGGTCTGGGTTTCCTTTGGGATAAAGCAAATAATCTCCCTCAAAACACCAGGGGCTGGAGAGATGGCTCGGTGGTTAGGAGCACTGGCTGCTTCCAGAGAACCTGGGTTTGATTCCCAGCACCCACATGGCAGCTAACACCATCCATAA